CCGCTCGGGGGGGGGGGGGGGGCAACGGCCGCCCTCAGATGACGTTGGTACCGGACGGTACCGTGCGTGTGTACCCGCGCTATCGGAGATCGCGGCGGCCCCGACCCTTCTCCTTCCAATCTCGCGACGGCCGACGTCTCGTCCCTCGTAGCCGATCGTCGCCGCTCACTCGCGTGCATGCCCTCGCGCCGGAAATCGGCAGGCGGAGCTGCAGAGGCACGGTGTTGCTCCGCGGGTTCAGAGGTTGGAACGATCACGAAACGATCGCATGTAACGGAAGTAATTAACGCCGTTCCGCTCCGTTGACTCGCTCGCGTTTATTTTCCGATTTCCCCGCCTCGCGACGAGAATTGCCGGCCGAGTGAGACCTGGTGATCCGAGAGTTCTCGAGTGTTGAAAATCGTTACTTGTACCGCGCGCAGTTTATACCCCCATAGTCTCGTGATTCGTGCAGAGTTGAATAATCCGTGTGCGTCATCGCGTATTCCCGTGTTACAATTGGAGCGTGGGGACCGTGTGCACGTAGTTCAAACGCAAGTCTTGTTTATAGTAATTTGACCTCTCATTTCAGATTTCGTAATGTGACACCTCGCGAATAGGAACAATCTGTTGAAAATGGCAGCGATTTGTTCCGGACGACCTGGCTGGTTAGGAAAGCTCGGAATAGCATTGCTAGTCATGTGGTTTTTAATACTGATTATATCCATCGTTCATATATTTAAGTCCAATTCGTTGTCAAGCCGCGATGCTGACACTGCCAACAAAGAGAACACGCAACGCCTAGCACAAATGGTTAATGACTTTGAAATTCTAAAGAAGCAGAACGACGCGTTGAAGAACTTTATACTAGGGTACGTATTTGCGTCCGGCACGCACACCGCGTGTGCATATGCTGGGCTGGGAAAGTTAATTTATAAAAGTATCTAGTTGCAGTTACAAGTGACCAATTCTGAAAAGTAACGCGTTACAGTTACAGCTACTAAGAAAAATAACGAGTCGTTACTTGGCAGTTACTTTCGTGCAATGAAAATAAAAGTATTGAATCCACATTTGAATTGGAAAGTGTCGATGAAGGTGTTTGTACGCGAATGCAAGACCTAATGCGATCTGTGGAGGTTGAAAATATGTACAAAGTAACTGTTACTGTAACTGCGTTGCAGTTCCAGATGGAGAGAAAGTAACGAAGTTAAGTTAGAGTCACAAAAAAAATAGTAACCGTAACTGTAACTTGGTTACAAGTAACAAGTTACTTCCCAACCCTGCGTATATGTGAAAAAAGAGTTTCAGCTACGCTGAAAATTTGAGACATGGAGCACTACGGTCTTTTCGTTGCATAGGCTAATGTACTTTCCAGAGAAGGATCGAAATCTATACAAGGGGACCACTTAGGCTCCGTGCAAGACAAGCTCGAGAAAGCGTCCGTCTATTATGACCTGATGGATCATCAGGACGGATCGAAGCACGGCGTTCCCTCCTCGGAATACGAGGAGCTGCGGCGGAGGTTGAGAAACGATGTTCAGGAGATGTGGTAAATATAATAATGGCTGATCGAAGGTTGAATTATGCCCGGCACGTTACATGAAAGATTACGTGCTTAGTTTTACGCTACAGGTATTACGTTAACGCCGAGTTGAGTAAGTTTAAGAAGCACATTGACGAATTCACGTACGATCAAAAAGAAAAGGAGATACAGGATGTGATGAAAAACGCGTGGGAGCATAAAAAGTCACTTATAATGAATATCGACAAATTGAAGAAGGCAGACGGTTACGATGAGTGGCGGGAAAAGGAAGCGAAAGATCTAGCCGATCTTGTTCAGAGGCGATTTAGGTAACGCAGCTTGCCATATATCACAGTGCTTTAAAAAGTAAACTATTTTAGTCTGACTAATCTAATCTAATCTAATCTAATCTAATCTTGTTTTATGTTTAAGGTATCTACAGAATCCTGTTGATTGTAATAAGGCAAAGAAGCTGATATGTAGCTTAAATAAAGGCTGTGGGTTTGGTTGTCAGGTAAGAAAAGTAAATTCTGATAAGCCGTTAAATGACGAAATAAGATAAATATATGTATGTATGTTTTCCGTGTAGATTCACCACATCACGTACTGCTTCTTAGTGGCTTACGGTACGGAAAGAACATTGATAATGAAATCCAAAGGGTGGAGATATCAGAAAGATGGGTGGGAATCTGTCTTTAAACCCCTCAGCGACACTTGCGTCTCTACAACCGGTACCTCACACTCTAATTGGCCTGGAGATCCCTCTAAACAAGTAATATCTCTGCCAATTGTAGACAACGTTTATCCCAAGCCAAGGTTCCAGCCGCCTAGTGTACCCGCGGACTTGGCGCCGAGATTGGAAAAGATTCACGGTCATCCGCTCGTTTGGTGGGTAGGACAAGTGTTGAAATACTTGATGCGACCTCAGGACCACATGAGGAGAACGTTGGAAAAGGCAAAGGAGAAGCTTGGCTTTAAGAAACCCATCGTCGGTGTTCATGTGCGTAGAACTGACAAAGTTGGCACCGAGGCAGCTTACCATGACATAGATGAATACATGACTAAAGTGGAACAATATTTTGATCAACTTGAAACGAAACCAGACGTGAGGAGAGTCTTTTTGGCGAGCGACGACCCAAAAGTGATAACAACAGCCAGAAAGCGTTATCCGAATTACGAGATAATAGGGGATCCAGAAATTGCCGAGACGGCGTCCGTAGCGAAGCGATACTCGGATACCTCGTTGCAGGGAATAATTATCGACATCCACCTTCTGTCGGAATGCGATTACTTGGTATGCACGTTCAGTTCTCAGGTATGTCGCGTCGCATACGAGCTAATGCAGACCTTTTACACGGACGCGTACGACAGATTCACATCCCTCGACGATATATATTATTACGGGGGACAAAATCCACATCCCCACGTAGCTATTTTGGATCATAAACCGAGGAAGAACGGGGAATTAGAGCTAAAAGCCGGTGACTTGATTGACGTCTTTGGTAATCATTGGGACGGTTTTTCCAAGGGCTACAACACCAGAACTAGCATGACAGGATTATTCCCCAGTTTTAAAGTAAAGAATCCTGTTGATGCCGTAGACTTTCCCAAATATTCGAATATCCCTCTATTGGAAAATAAGAACGATTGAATCAGAGCGGCCGAGCCAAGTCATTTTCTGATGAAACGCAGCCTCGAGTGAATCGTTATTTTTCTGGATAAAATTCTTGAGATATTAGCAAAGATGACATGGCACGATGTATATATTTTGCTACTTGTAAATTATGATGTTGATGCTTGTAAATTGTCACAAATGTCCATGACTTGTCAAATAAGAGATAAATACCTGTCGTATATAATTATGTTTTAGTTTAGAAAAATATTACAAGTATGATTTTCCTTGAATGGCGCAATAGAGACACTATTTTCTAAATATTTAAGATTCTTTTTATACATACATGAAGCTACAATATAATGAGTCGATATTATGTAGATAGCATTTAGGGATAATAACGGAAATAATAATTTGCAGATATTTAACAATGCAGCATTTGCAATACTTTACTATTTTCACTGAAACTACGAAATGTGATTGTTAATTTAATCAAATAGAGTTAATTAAAGAAGGTTAATCATAATATATTATATTTGGAAATATAATATAAACTCGAAATATATATTATTATTAATTCCATCGGCAAATCGAGTTTGTTCTATATGTACATAATATATATATATATATATAATAGATTTAAAAAGAAGTTTATAATTGCGCGTTTTAAAATATTCGATATTTGTGCCAATGCATTATCATGAAACATTGTTTACATTGACTAGAATTGAATGTTCTATTCTTGGAAAATTACGTAAAAAAACACAAGTTTCTTCATTATTCCGCTCTATTAGACTTTGTAAATAACTTCGTGAAATGATTTCGCTAGCAAATGACTCGTATAAATGTTTATCATAACAATCGAATTGTGTAATACGGAATGTCCCAAAAAGCCTCTGTATATTTTGATGAATGACATTCAAATAAGTTACTTAACGACATAGTTGTATATTTTTATACAAAATACAATATTAAATTGAGAAAAAAAACTTTACAAAATTTATTTGCACGTTTTTTTTCCTTAATTTTCCCTAAATTTTATTCCCTTAATGCGATACTTTAATATATAAAAATACATATATATATATCTTTCTCTCTTTGTACAATGTTTATAAATTATAGATCTAAAAAAAATTAAAGAAAAATTATGAAAAATAATTCGGACATTATAAACATGTTAATTAAAAAAAAATAGCAATTTAAAATATCACTAAAATTACGGACTATTGGGATGTTCCGTATATTTTATATATTTTACATACCACGCTTAGTTTTAAAGTTTAATGTATTATGCGTGATTTACGTAAGATGTCATGTATATACATATAAATATATACGGTATTTTACATATGTATGTACGTGTATATAATAAGACATCGAGCGAGGCTTGGGGCCTATCTTCAATATAGAAGAACTTTCCTTGTACGCATATTGTAATATATTTTATACGCAAAACGCAAATGAAAATTGTTATTATAAAATGTGAATTTGATTTTGACTAATAAATATTTAATTCACGAAATGCACATGTAGGCATACTGTTTTAATGTTAAACGACGAAACGAGTTGTTTCATATAACAATAATCTTAAAAAATTTATATGTACATTGCGTTTCGAAATATTTACGATACATTTTAATTATAATAATAGTATTGACTTTCGTAAAATGGTTGAAATATTTTTTATTGTATTGTCAATTAATTTCTGTATTACAATACTACATAAAAAATGATTAGTTCATTGTACGACAATAAAATTTTTACACTTTTTATGTATAAAAACTATATTAGTAATCGCTTTTAGTTGTGCATGCAAACTGTATAAAAAGAAGCGCAATCTCGTATTTTTTTCAATCAAAAAAACTTTGTAAGTATAATACACATATAAATTAATTTGAATGGTAAAATCAAGCAATGAAAATTATAAAACAAGTTTTCGCATATAACTTTGCTATGATTGGTACAAAAAAATTAACCGAAAAGAGCCAGTATGTTAAACAAATAAAAAATAATGTTTCATGCACATCGCGAATATATATATTTAATTATCATTAAATATCAGTATTCTCTCTCTCTCTCTCTCTCTCTCTCTTTCTCAATGCGCGATCATATACATTTATATTAAGCTCAAGTTAGATTACAAAGTCCTTGCAATGAAATAAATACAATAGTTGTCTTTAACTCTCACTTTATAATTCTCGTTTTATACATTGTTCAATAATAAATGGCAAATTAATGAGATCATAGTAAATTTGGAAATATTTACATCTACTTTGAGTTTTTCAACTCTCTCGACAAACTAAATTTTAAAAGATACAAATAACTTATATCTCACGATAGAAAGTACACTTATAATGTACAATTGATTTTATCTCCAATTCGTTTGGATCAATGTTTTTTATTTAAAGAAAGTAAATTTAAGCAAACTATTACTCAACGCATTTGTATTTGCTGTGAGTACTCGTGTAGCCATGAGCTCAAATTTATCGTTAAAAATCACCGCTTTTATCTAACGGTTGAACCTATACTTTTTTTAGACTTTGTATATTGATCGCAGGACAAAAAACGATGTCACAATTTTATTTAGCAGTTGACAAATATATGCATTTAGAATAGTCAGAACAATTTCCAGTCTGAAAAATACGTGACAAATATTGACTAGGTTTACCTTTAAGATATAAAGCAAATGACAAGCTGATCACAACACAATCAGACATAAGAAAGTTATTAATATAATTAATATCATATTTTTTATTTAACTTATTTTACAAATTTGAAATATGCGTGTACAGAATGGTCCATCGCAACTGGATAACATTTTAACAGTAGACACTACACAGATCCAAAATTAAAAAATGATTTTTTCAAGATTAAGATTTGAATGTATTTTGTGAACTGAAAGCGATTGAAGGATTTTTGATAGATCCAAAGTTCTAGAAATCAAAATAAATAATATATATATATATAATCTATTTTTATTATATTATATATAATTGATTATATATAATATGATTTTATATTATATATATATATTTACTCTGTTCACTTAACTTTATTTGAATAGAATTTCCATCTACTATTTGTTAGAGTAATAGTTGATGTTAAACGGTAAAAAATTACGACAAATGTCAAAACATGTAATTGTTCAAGAAGAATCGGACTCGAGATTTTCGTTCAAAAATCTATCATTAAAATATTTTTCGTTGGCAATAAACCATTTCGTATATTGTAGCATGAATTACAATTTATTGTCACGATAATACTACTATTGTTTTTGCAATTTCCTATTTAAATCTGCATGTTATGCGTACTGAAAATAATTCGATAATCCTAAATTTCGAGTGATTTTATAGAATTAGGTACTGGCAAATATGCTTCTACAAAATAGCCAGCAATTTTATCACAAAACTAATTATCATTATAATATATGGACGTAGACAAGTGTTTTTACTTTTCCAGGTAAAGATAATGCTATACAACAATCATGATCAAAACGTAGCAGTAGATACATTAAAAAAGTCATAGTATTTATTTGCAAGTGATTCTAAAACATTTTCACGTTAACAGTAACAATACACCGAAAGTGTAATGTTATGTTCTATTGTTACAATCTACATTGTACAACTTTGCATTTTATACGGTTTGAAAGACAATTTTTGGTTCGATAAATTATAAATTAACAAAAAAAATAGTTTACTCTGGTAAGATAAAAGTCAACGAAGAATACTGGAAATTAAATTCTGACTTTACACTAGCTGTAAATAAAATGACAAACAACTTTACAGCATGTGATGTGAACGATATTTTATTGGGCCCTTCCAATTTGCTAGAATGACTGTACCTGAGAAACGAACGTCTTACATTTAGGCTAGACAGCCAAATGACCGGTTTTTATCATTTTCATATAGGTTTTTTCGCTTTTTGCAAATTAATTCGTATGCAAAAGAGATATACATAAGAAGCAGATTGAACACGTTCCTTGTCCTGATTCATCAACTACGATCGACGTCTATCACTTATTGATTTTGCGTTCGTCGTTCTCCAATGATATTTTCTAGTTTCCGTGCAACAAAAGTTGCAGCTTTTTTAGGAGGTGAACCTTCTGTCATTTCTACATCCGTGTCATCGGATAGCAATCGCTTTCCTACAGTCTTTTTCGCATCCACAGATATCATCATCTTATTGATTGCTTCTAAATCCTGAAAAATGTATCATTATATAAGAACGAAGACGAATCAATTTTTAAATGTCCAAAAATCTAGTTGTTATAAAACTTATATAATATCTATTTTACCTTGGCAGGGCTACGACTGAAGCAATAACTTAATTGCGGCGCCGGTGACGCACTGATAGCTTTCGGGTCTAGAGTGCGCGTCATAATACTACTAGTGACACGTCTCACTGGAGAATTAGCAGGCGCCTTTCCTTTCGGTAAAGGACTTAGCGAGAGGTTCATGACGCTACCGCGTGCCGATCCAAATCTGTTTGCAAATTCCTTGACTTGCGGAACATACATCGTGTTGTAGAACTTGATCAAGTCGCCGCGACTCTCCCCGTTAAAGTTTTGCGATGTGCCAGCCATATTTGTTGGTGTTGGTGGAGTTACATTCTCGCCTATTACAGCACTGTCCTCCGATCTTTCGATATCAGCTGTCGATGAATCACCGTCATTAGAGACTCTCTCGATAAGCACCGATCTATATATATGTGATTCTGCCTGCGGTTGTAGACGGTAACATCGCATGATCTCGGTGAACGAGTTTCTCTCCATCCTCACCAGTTTACATATTACATAAATTGCACACATTAAGATCTGATCAAGATGCCGGTCCTTCATCAGTTTGGTACGTTCCTTGATGGAGTATTCAAAGATTGTCCAGATCTTTTTCTTATCGTTGTCCGATATCTCCAGCGAATTGCACAAGTCCTGCATGCGCACGCACGCAAGATTGTAGAACTTTCGGAAGAACAGCGCGACAGAGCCCGTTCTTCTCGGTCTAGCCGTGTCTCTATTCGTCGCTTGTGTGGAATTATTTAACGCTTGCATGCCTGATCCTTTAGAAACGGTAATTTGATCGGGTACTAAGAGTATCCTTTGACCATTGTCCAATAACATTCTATTAGAGGATAGCACACTTTGTCCGACACGGAGGATACTTTGGCCAGTGACTCTGGTTTCGGAAAATAATCGCTTCTTTGCCACACCAGACGCTGCGATAGGAGACTGAAATCTACATCATACATGATTAAATATATATATTACTCAGTATCCTTTATAAAAAATATTTTATGGTTAAGAAAATGTTCAAATTTACAATTCTTTTAATTATTTTGCGCATTACAATTTGAAGAAAGAAACTAATAAAGCGTAATAACTATATTATTATTATAATACAACTTTTTTCTATTAAATTTTATTAAAACAATTTTTCTAATCTTCTTTAGTAATATACTTTAGTACATAGTATACACGCGTTTGTAACAGTGTAACTTCCGGAAGAATTATAAATTCGATCATTTATTCCTTCGGTTAAATAAATTATACCTTTCTGAAGCGGACGAAATTGGACTCTGTTGAATATCATGAAGAGCACGTTCCCGATCTAAAGCAGCAAGCCGTCTTAATACAGGCTGACCAGGCGCGTTCGGATCGGTTTCTAAAGTACCAGGTAAAGAAACTTCCTCGCAACTCGGCACACCATCCGGTAGAGAATCGATGGTTTGCCACAAAGGGCTATCACTTTGCCAAGCCAGGGACTCCAGAATTTTCTCCTCAATCTGATTCAAGTGCTTGACAACATCTCGCGACAATTGATCTTCAGCTCTTACTATAATTTCTATAACCTTATAGAAATAGTAAGCATCCAGTTTCAGTGTCTTTAATATCCAGGGGAATACCTTATCGTTGCTTTTGTATGAATATATAACTATTTCGAGGCAACAAGCATACAAGGATTGGATAAAAACTTCATTCAAAAGCAGATTCTGTAACAAATCGTTATTAAGGTAAAAATATGTCGTTTCAACAATTTTTTATCTATAGTTATCCGTCTGTGTAAGCTTACAGTTATGTCGTCATTTGGCTTTTTGCGTTTTTCGTCGGTTAGAATCATCTCTAGAAGTTTGTAAAACAGGGTTTGTCCCATGAGAAGACGCTTTTTTCCAAAATCAGATGCTGAACCATCATTTATATTGGTTACATCCGCATTATTATTATAGCTTGCACAAAATTGTTCACCAATCTGTTTAACTTTCGCCTCGAGTGAAGACTTGACGTCTTGAGAACAGTTGTTCAGCATCTGTAATAGGCTTTCGCTTGTAGCAGTTTGTCCAGCTATCAAAGCTTGTAACTTAATAACGCTTTGAGTTGCCGTAGTCACTGGTGTTATGTTAGACATGTCCTTCGATCGGAGATATTTTCGTCCCGTCAATGGTGTGGCAGGTGCTAAATATTGTGTCTGTTATGGAAAATAAAAAGTTACACATACATAAAATATTTTACCTCAATTGCTTACTAAAATTGAAATAAAATATCACAAATAATAATGTCGCTCGTGTTAAAAACAGCAAGTATATAAAAGAGGCCAATTTTAACGAGCACGAAAGTTAACAAAGCATTATATTTTAAACTTTAAGATATTACAAGAATACATGAAATACAGATCCGCGGACGCGTTTCGGCACACAGTGCTTTCATCAGCGCAAAATAAGCTTAAATTTAAATTAAATTAAAAACGGAATTAAAATTAAATGGTTGTTACATGTTTTACATAGTTCTTAGCGATTGTCCAGTGTATAATTAAGACGGGCAGGTTTAGTCAATTATATAAAAAAAAAAATTCGTAGCTGAAGTAGCCGGCTGTCACGGTTGTAGTCAAGAGACAGATCCAGGTTCTATACCAGGTTGGATGGCCCATATAGAACTTCTTCTATTCGGTTTGATTTGGCTCAGATTAATTTATTGATTGTTATAATAGTTTTTTTTTTTTAATGGTGTATGCGTTTGAAATATCTCAATTTCCCTTCTTGACCAATTCCGTATTTTTTTACGGCCAGATGGTTTGATCAGTCTTACTTCCTCAGAGTCTTGGAGAGAAATGAGTCGTTTAAAGAAACAGTGTGAAGGTGATGCTTAGTCATATTGATGTGGAAATTGTTTATATGTTAATATTATTTGTTTTTAACTGTTTGTAAGACTGTGGAGGAATTCTGTGTAGGTCCCGTCCAGGAGCTCCGTGTCCTTTTGGGAATTGATACCATTATGTTATTTTTAATGTGTATCATTTCGCTTATAATTCTTTTCCTCCAGTTAGGAGGAAAAATCTTTGTCTAAAATGGATGCATTTTTAAAAAAACGAACTATTATAACAATCAATAAATTAATTTGAGCCAAATCAAACCGAATAGAAGTTCTGTATGGGCCATCCAACCTGGTATAGAACTTGGATCTGTCTCTTGACCACAACCGTGACAGCCGGCTACCTCAGCTACGAATTTTTTTTTTATATAACTGACTAAACCTGCCCGTCTCAATTATACATTGAACAATCGCTAAGAACTATGTAAAACATGTAACAACCGTTTAATTTTAATTCCGTTTTTAATTTAATTTAAATTTAAACTTATTTTGCGCTGATGAAAGCACTATGTGCCGAAACGCGTCCGCGGATCTGTATGTCATGTATTCTTGTAATATCTTAAAGTTTAAAATATAATGCTTTGTTAACTTTCGTACTCGTTAAAATTGGCCTCTTTTATATACTTACTGAAATAAAATAAACACAATCTTTCTAAACCATACCCCAGCGTACTGTTCTCTCTTCATCTGCAATCGTTCATGAAACTCTTCGATGTTCATCATTTGCGTAGGGGAACCAATGTTTTCATTAGCGTCATGGCCTAAAATAAGAATCATACATTTATGTCAAACTTGTAGCTCGAAAAATACCACAAGCAAATAGCCTAATTTTATTTGAAAAGTGTGTGATTAGTAGATGAAAGAAATTAGTTCAAGCAATCATTTGCAAAACATGAGCATCCACACAAGAAATTACAAACCCACCTTGTGAGACTTCGTGTTTACTAAACTGGACATGCTTAGCACCATTTTGGCCAAATATATCTGAATTTGATACATCGTTCAAATTTACTCTTCTCCAATCCGCTATAAAGCAGTCACGACAAAGCAAATACACAAATTTGTTAAGCAAAAAATAAAATAAACTTAATAAACTAAATAAACTGTTAGAAATTTTCTCTTTTCAACTAGTAACAAGCTACAAGTTCGAATAGCTTTAGTGTAGTATATACTTACATATTGCAATATAAATAAATAATAAAATACAAGTCGAAAAAAAGACAAGAAAGAAGAAATAGTTAAGATGTTAATGTGCTCAATTCTCATTTAGATTTAACATAATTGCGAACGTTAATTGCAGCACATTTTTGCTCATCAATTCACGCTTATCACAGATATTTATAAAAGCATAAGCTAGTAGGAAGCATGCAAGGTTTACAATGTAAGCTTACAATGCACATGTACTTTGTTTCTTGTGCACATCAATCAATACTAATTACTATGCATAGAGGAAAGCTCTTACAATTTAATTAAAAGTAATAATTTTACCTAAGAAAATTCTTTCATCGAAATCTCCAACACTTAACATACGCTGTTCGTAAGACTTGTTAATGGCCTTGTTGTTACCATCAAAATTCAATGCCTCTAGCATACCGGAGAAATTTGACTGATCACCACGCAAGATTTTCTCACTAAATAGCTTGTTAATATAATTCTTGACCCAGTACTCCTTGATGGCTTTAGCTTCAATGGCGATTGCATCGTGACGCTCACATAGCAAATTGATAATGCAATTTGGCGTTTGTGGCGTAGTATAATTATCGTCGTTAAAATTTGCTGGCAAGCCTGTAAATCGAAATACGGCAGATGGGATCGTCCTTATTGGATTGATTGTTACGTACGCGTGTGTTCCCCTAAAGATTAATTCTAAGGATACTCACCAGCAAAATCAGGATTCAGCAAGTCTTTTCTATTAGCTAATAAGGCGTTGTTATAGACGAGATCGCAGCAAACCAGCAAAAGGTGGTAAGAGTTAACAAGATCGTCCGAAATATCGTGAATTGCACCTTTTATGCATATAAACAGCGTCCAGCAGAACTCGAAGACTCTGCTGGGCGTACAGGGCATTGCTTTGTGCCTCCTGGATCTAGGTGGTCTAGAGGTATCCTCTCGTGGATCCTTGAATATATCGGTGAATATTGGCTGATACTTCTTAAATATCACCATAGATACCGAGAAATTAGCTTCTAGCTTCTCTATCCTGGCACGAAAGTCCTGCGGCATATTAGCCATGTCTGCCCATGATTTGCTCTTTGTAAAGAACTGTATCAGCGGGAGATTACACAATTGCAGGAGACGTGTCAGCGACACGCAGTTGCCTTCCACATTAGTGCCTGGCCTCCCCACTGTGGGTATGGAGAATTTTCTACAAGCTACGTACACTGCGCATCCTATCCAATGCAACTGGTCCCCCTGCGAATGTACGTTAGAAGTCCTCTTTTAAATCAATAACTCGTATAAATGTATTAAGATATCGCGGAGTAAAGTAAAAAAGTAGAAATATCCGTGGAAAACTAACGGAGTTCTACAAAAATTAAGAAACGCTGATTTCGAGGTACCAGAGGCCCAGCAATATTAGAAGTGTATGCAGATATTATGGAAATCGAGTCAATCAACGGGCAAATTTCACGACGCGATCCTTTCGGAAACAACGCGCCAAACTGCACTTCGTCGCGCTTTGACCAAGCGAGGGAATCGCTCGAACATTGACCGTCTAGTCTTGCGTGGAGGATCGGCAATTCGGGAACAATTACATCGCACCGAGCTGTTCACGACGTCGCGCGCGGAATAACGTCACACTCGTCATCGGGGCGGCCGCGTTATAGCGAGATAAATACTACCTCCAGGGTGTAGTTCTGCCGAATGGTCTCGTAGGATCTCCAGGCCTCGGATGCGGCGGTCGCGTCCATATTCAGCTTCTGGCAAAGATCCTGGTGCCGGCCGTACATCGAGTCCTCAATATCGTCGGACTGCCCCATCCTTACCGCGTTCACGATCCAAACAGACGAGAGATCAGACGAGAAACCGCGGGAAAAACACTCCTATTCCGCCATACAAAAACTTGGTTGAGCTGTAACGCTGTAACAGGGTTACCGCGAGGGCTTGGCGGGAAACGACACGAGCGCCGACATATTTGCCATGTTGGCGGGAAACGTAGTGCGGCCGGTAGCAACGTCGATATTGCGCCCGCGAGCCGCGAGCGCGCGTTCGCAACGCGCGGGATTTCTAATTGGACCACGCTTTCTGGTTGGCGGGAAAATCTGGAAGTGTTGACGTCAGAGATTCGATAGGGTAAAATTGAACAGTTTGTTATCTCGAAACTTTTCCACGACACGACCAGCCCGGCTAATGTGAGTTTCGGCTTCGTGGCTTTCATCAATATCTCTTTTTGTTTCTTTTTATACGCGCGGACGTAATGGTTCGTTATTTTTCTCGCCGAAAAATTAACAAGTGGCGCGTCCACAATCTTGCTTTAAGTAAGCTGTAAGCTTAAAGCCTCCGCTACAATGATTCTCAGTTCTGTCTACAATGGTCGTAGTCGTAGTCGCTCGATAAGAATTGACCAATCGCAGTCGATTATTCTTACGACTACGACCATTGTAGACAGAACCGAGAATCATTGTAGCGGAGGCTTTAAGCGAAACCATGATCTAACAAACGTTTTAATTGTTTTATTCGGAACCAACGAACGATTTTGCGTCGATTGAGCCTATTTTGAAACAAAAACTGTAAAGAATTCTATATTTATCGGCTAAATTAATACAAAAAATTCTTTTCGTTTTTACATAAAACCTACAAATTAACAAGTGTTATAATTAGTTTAACAATCACCTACAAACGACTTACGAACGATTCTTAAAAATAAAAATGTTCCCAGTTTAAATTGTCCGGCTAACTTCATGGGTTCGCGCATGCGCGAATAACGTGACCAAACTAACATCACTGGATGGTTGGCAACCCTCGCTCGCGAAACGGTTTAAATCTCCTCGGTTCGGTCCGCTTGGAGCGGGAGGCTTGCAGAACGGGAAAATAATGCAGTCTTTCGGCGACGATACTCTGTTGGCCTACCTAGACATCGAGAAAAGACATGGAATCTTGCAAGAGCAAACCGAGAATAAAGTCCCTTTGCGGGAAGAGAACGTTAGTGATCTGGGTAAATATTTCAAGTCAAGCTCGCTGCTCTTGGACTTCGCGAACGAGAGGAACCGTTTGGACAAACCGAAGCTGCCTGATTCAGACACGAGAGGAATAGGAAAAGGGAATGCGTCTGACATCAAGTATTTCGAGGACAGTATTTTATTTCCCAAGATCACCGGTAAAAGAGATTTATCCTCGACCTCCGGTGCTTCGGGGAAAAACAGGATCTTGCCGTCCCAAAGAAATCGGAGTCCTCGTGAAACAAACAAGGGGGATGTCGTTACGAATTTGAAGGAGAAACTCCACGGACCTAGTACTCAGAGTCTTTGTAAAGCTAAGTCGCCCGATAGCACGCAAGATGCAACAAGTAGTGGCGGTGTCACGTCGTCGGCCGTTAATGTCACGTGCGATAGAGAAAATTCGGAATTCATTATCTCGTCTCCGCCACTTTGCACTCAGGATCGGTATAAATTGTCATCGTGGGGCCTGTCACCAAACATTCTACAGGTATTAGGTGCAGAATCACTCCAGCATCCCCTTAATGATCTTGATGATTACCGTTATTTTTTAGAAATACACTGCTCGTGGAGTAGAATGCATGTTCCCATGGCAAATGGAATGCTTGTCGAATCACCTAGTAATGCAAGAGAGAAGGAATCTTGTATATTCCGCGCCTACCTCTGCGGGAAAGACCTTTGTTGCTGAAATTCTCTTGATTAAGACCGTTCTAGAAAGGAAGAAGAAAGTGATCTTTATCCTGCCATTTGTTTCTGTCGTTAGAGAGAAGATGTATTACTTCCAAGTAAGATACATCGAAATCAAATTGTTACGCATATCTATTTCTCAAATCATGCAACATTGCTTATGAGCAAATTGATAAATTTGTCATTCAGGATTTATTGTCTGACACTGGAATACGAGTTGAGGGATTTATGGGAGGAAACGTCCCACCCGGAGGATTTGCCGCTACCCACGTTGCAATAGCCACTATAGAGAAAGCGAATTCTTTGGTGAATCGTTTAATGGAGGAAAACGATCTGAGTAGCTTGGGGGCTGTGATAATAGACGAATTACATCTACTCGGTGATCCTAATCGCGGTTACCTCTTAGAGTTGCTTCTGACAAAATTAAAATATATGACTCTCCAGTGAGTTTGCTGATTATATTACAATCCGCAATGTCACTGGGAGTCATGTACAATTTAACGTTTCAGCAACAATAATATCAATATACAACTGATAGGTATGTCAGCTACATTGCCAAATTTAACTCTGCTAGCCAAGTGGCTGAGTGCAGAGTTATACAAGACTGACTTTCGGCCTGTACCTTTGCATGAATATTGTAAGGTAAAGAGGTACATAATGTGTAAAAATTACTTTTATGTTTATTTGAGATAGCATAGATTTAATTACGCACTTTGCTTAAAACTAAAATCTAGAGAGACTTTGATATCGCACTATTTAAGATATTTTCTGCTTATAGGTAGGAGCAAACATATTTGACAACAAATTGAATCTTGTCAGAACTTTAACAGAGTTGCAGGAATTAGAAACAGATGCGGATAATATTCTACAGCTTTGCATTGAGACAATAAGTGACGGTCATAGTGTGTTAATTTTCTGTCCCACAAAGAAATGGTGTGAGAAATTGGCGGAGCAAATTGCTACAGCTTTCTTTAAATTAGGTTTGCTCCAATTATTTACTGATCGAATAAATATAGTTTGTTTTTTAACCAGCGTCTTATATATTTTTTGTTAATTATTTTATTGGCTCGTTCTTTTCGTATAAACTATAGCAATAGATTTGTTTTATTTCAAACACAAACTACAAAAACATAAAACTGCAATTAAGAGAAAACGGATCTTATATCTGAAATATTTATTTCAATCTATGAGTAGGTTGTGAAGATACAAAACTTGGTGAGATGTTAAAGAAAGAAATCAATTCTGCTTTAATCCGTGAAACTCTGGAACAATTGAAACGCAGTCCAAGCGGTTTAGACGACGTTTTAAAAAACACGATTTCGTTTGGCATTTCGTTTCATCATGCTGGACTCACAATGGACGAACGCGATATCATAGAAGGATCTTTCAGGTGATAATCATATTTTTGTTTAGCTGATAAATCTTTTACAAAACTTTTAAACTTGACGCTGTTATTCTAGAACGGGGTCCTTGAGAGTTCTTATAGCAACGTCGACATTAAGTAGTGGAGTGAACTTACCTGCACGAAGAGTAATTATAAGATCACCTCTATTTGGTGGCAGTCTGTTGAACACTTTATCTTACAAACAAATGATAGGACGTGCTGGTCGTATGGGGAAAGACAGCGCAGGTAAGAAATATTAGAATGCATAGTAAGTGAACAAGACATAACTTTGTCGTCTTAATTGTATTGAACTGAAAGAAAAACTGTTTTTGAAAAGTATGAAAGAAATAGTGCACAGAGAAATGCATTATAATTATCTTTTACTTGCTTTTAAAACTAAATTGAGACCAAAAAATTGTATGAAACACTAGACGTATCATTGACTAACAATATAAATACAACAATAACGAAAATTTTATAATTTCCAGGAGAAAGTATACTAATATGTAAACCGAACGAACGTAATGCAGCTGCGTCATTACTGTCTGCAGCTCTGAATCCAATTGAATCTTGTCTCAATGATTCTACGCTACTAATAAGGGCGCTCTTAGAAGCAGTAGCCAGCGAAGTTTTATATACACATGAAGATTTAGAACTGTATATTAGTTGTACTTTGATAAGCCTGAAGGAACAGTCTGATGTGCGAACGTTTTCTAATGCAGCGATGAAATTCTTATTAGATAATGAATTTTTATTGTAAGCATAATTAAACCATTATCACTCTTCATGGAGAAGATCCTAAAAATATATCACCTGACAGTTTTCTTAAAACATTAAAATTAATTTACATAATTGTATTATTTACACAGATTACAAACTACAGAGCAGGTATCCAGATGGGTAGCAACGCCGCTTGGGAAAGCATGTCTGGCCGCGTCTATACCTCCCAGAGAAGGGTTAGTTCTGTTTGAAGAACTACAGAAAGCACGAAGGTGTTTCGTTTTGGACACTGAATTGCACGTTATATATTTGGTAACGCCACTCTCGTCCGGGTGTCAAATTGGAACTGTCGATTGGATGACATTTCACGAATTATGGAACACCATGTCCGAAAGCGAGCGCAGAGTTGGAAAGCTCGTCGGGGTGGAAGAGCGCTTTGTGTTGTCAGCTATTAGAGGAATCGTTAAACCTGGAAAATCGGTAATTGAGTATTTGCCTAATCTATTCTAAGATACAGAAAACACATTAGAGTCGATCTCCATATTGATTTAAAGAATTGCTAATGCGAATGCTTCGTGTCATAGTTGAATATACATAGGAGATTCTACAGCGCATTGGCGCTACATGATTTGGTGAAGGAAGTGCCACTTCACGCGGTTTGTAAAAAATACGGTTGTTGTCGCGGAGTACTGCAAACCTTGCAACAGTCCGCTTCCACGTATGCGGGTAAAACCGAACATATCGAATAAATTAATAATGACAAATTTATTATTTGAGCAAATGTTTTATGGCAAGTTTCCATCTTATCTTAGGTATGGTCACGCAATTTTGCAAGCAATTAGGTTGGGATTGCATGGAATTATTGGTAAATCAATTTCAAACGAGATTACAGTTCGGCGTTTGCAGAGAATTGCTAGATTTGCTGCGCCTGCCGATGTTAAACGGCTTGCGAGCAAGGAGCCTGTATAAACAGGGAATAGAAACCGTAGCAGACTTGGCTGTTGCGAATGAACTTAATGTTGAACGCGCGCTTTACAATGCTCTTCCTTTCGAAAGGTACGAATTTTATTAATTCTTTTATATATAAAGTATCTTTTTTATTTGGATATACACAAACGTGTAATCATACATGTTTATTAGTAAATAAGATTTTTCATCTGGCATGTAAAAATTGCATGTAATGGATCGGGCTTAAGATACCAAATCTGGTATATGAATACAGATCGTATATTTACCTTATTATATTTTTTGCGTATGTTTTAGCGAAAAAGAATGTGAAGGAGAATATGCGTTTGATACGGAAAAGAGGAATAAAATGAGGACAGTATTCGTCACTGGAAGAGATGGTCTCACGCCTCAACAAGCTGCAGTTTTATTAGTTCAAGAAGCCCGGACATTAATTCAGGTTTGTATAAATCTTCAATTCTATAAATAAAATACGCCTCTCTTTTTCTCTCTATTATTCGTTGCAATAAAATAATGATTATTTACAGAAAGAGTTGGGACTGGAACAGATGCCATGGGAGCAGAATGAACGATCTCTGCAAGTCAATACGTGTGTCAGAGATGCTGAAGATACGTCTGACATAAAGGAAGATATTCAAACGGATTTGAATGTAAACTCGAAATCTACGCAAATAGGAATGTCCAAAGAAAATTCGGCACACGAAAACCTTGTGAGTAACGAGAATCAAAAGGATGATAATCCGAAACTTGATACGTATAAAGAAAGTAGAACTGACGTGTTGGACAAGAAACAAGTAACTGAATTGAACAATCAACATTTAAATGAAGCTAATTTGTCACTTGAAGTCTCAGAAGATGATAGAGAGTTGTCTACTTTTCTCAACTTAAGTTCTCCCGATATAATGGCAAACGATGAACTAGATATATCTAAAGAAAATAAAAATCCTTCCGTGACTGGTGATAGCGAAAAGATAAAGAGAAGCAGCGAAGATTTAGAAAAATCCAACTTGATTGCTAACGATATACCTAACAAAAAGTTCAAAATTTCCAGCACGAATGAGGTAAAGAATAACGACGAGGTAAAAAATTTGATAGACAAAAACGAAAGTATGCCTATTATAGACGAAGATGTTAAATCGCCCTGTACTTCAAGAAGTCCCAGTTTATTCGACGACAGTTTAAATCTCGACACTCAAATGTGCGATATTCTCGAGCAAAATGTCGCGGATGTATATAACATGGATATCGCGGATTTAACAGGATTGGATTCGACAGTATTTGCAAGCGAATTGGATACCGCGGATGCGTTACAGGCGAAATCTGCAAGTTCAAATATCAGTAATGTGCCATTGTGTGAAAACAATATTGCAAAAAGTATAGACGAGGCTAATTTGCAATTCAAAAACAGCGTATTGTCGTGGGGTGACGATTCGTGGAATAATTCTGAATTGCTAAAACAGATAGTTCAAGATAAAAATATGCAAACCAAGAAGGAAATATGTAATTCGACAGTTAGAAACATCGTAAACACGAATGTATCTGTTACATTAAAAAATACGAAAACTTGTACGCGAAACAGTAAGAATAGTATGAGTAAAGCGGATGGTAAAAAACATACTGTTGCAGTTAGAGAGAAAGCATTGCAGAAACTTAAATTGTCCACAGTAACGGAAGTGGACTCCCCTGTGGCGAATATAATTGTTTTCAAAAAGGAACGGAAGACGTCCGCGGATTCAAACAAATCCGACTCGGATGACTTTATCGGTGGTTCACAGCACTTTGAATCTCCTTTTAGCAGTAGTAAAAGTCAAACGAGGACGATGTTGGAGAAAATGCGTAAATTGCGTCCTCGAAAACTCGCTGAGGATACTATAACAAAAATAAACAATTGTTTAAATTCTCCTAAAAGAGAAATACCAAATATAATAGAAGATAAAATAAAAGAACAACGGGAAGTAAAACCAAAAATGAAAGAAATTTTAGCACAAAATGTATTAATTTCTGCGAATTCGATAAGACAGCATAAAACGCAATCGAATAATTTAAATAAAGATTTGAAATCAAAGACAGAAAATATATTATCTGACGAGAAGAAGGATTTGTTGAACGAAACGATAGATTGGAATACATTAAATATTGTGAAAGTTGCAAACAGTAGAGTAACTTTTAATCTGTTCAAACGCGAAATATTAAAAAAGCGCGATATTGCGTTAGCCTTACATTGTGACACGTACATAGATAATACAAATAACATAGGCTCAAAGATTTGTCCCTCCAATACGGAAGGAAAACGAAGAGCTAGAAGATCTGGAAATTATTCTTATGGAAATAAAGAAATTCGCGGCGTTGCGGTATCCTGGGAAAGTAATATTGCGTATTATATCTCCTTCAATAATTCACAAGGTAACAGAAATGTCATCACTGATCACGCTTTTCTAACCAAATGCCTTTTAATTACAAATTATCTATCGTTATTTTAAATTTTCATGTATATATTATAATTATTCCAGAATCAAAAGTCTCTGGAAAAGAACAGGTGGCTTTATTGAAAGAATTGTTTTACGATACGACTTTGTACGTAAAATGTTTTGCGATAAAGGATGTGTATAAACTCTTGTATCAATGCTGCGGAATCACTGCCAAATGTAGATTTCTTGATCCCGTAATTGCACATTGGTTGTACACGAATGATTTTGAAAGAAATTATAATGAAATGGTAAGATTTGAGCCACGTACTGTACAATAGATCTTCTTGTACAAAATAGCCTAAGAAAACTTCGTAAATGTTTTGTTAAATAAATGTCGATTTAAGATCAATTATATTAATACTACATAAATTATTAAAATTGCATCACAATATATTCAATCAATACAACAAATTCTAAATAGGTAACGCAATACTTTCCGCAAGGGAATTTTATAATGAAACAGACCAAATCTTGTTGCTACGCCGGTCCCGGAATGGATGTGCAAAGTTCTTTACCAGGAGAGTTTAGATCAGCAGCAGAAACCGTCCTTACGTGGCATATGATGGATAATGTCATGAGTAAATTAGAAGAACTTAATCCTGTTCTACTTTATACGTTCAGAGGTATAACAGAGATTATACATACATATGTTTCTCTATTTTATTACACCCATCAATGTTCATTTTCAGAAGTAGAAATGAAAATTATGACAACTTTAGCTTGTATGGAATTATCAGGCATTGGCGTGAGTCTAAAGTCTTTGCAAGAACTGTCATCAGTTATTTCAAATGAAATGCAGTCTTTAGAAACAAAAGCTTATGACTTGGCAGGCAGAAAATTTAATTTCTCATCGTCCAAAGAAGTTGGACAGGTTTGTAAAGTTAAAATTTTACATATAATACATAATACATATGTATATAATTTTAATTAAAATATGTATATGTCGTATAGGTATTAGGATTATACAAAGATAAAAAGATTAGTACAAGTAAGGCTATTTTAGAAAAATGTGATAATCCAATATCAACCTTGGTGATTTCCTGGCGAAAGTTAAATTCAACGAGAACAAAAGTAATTATATAATAAGTATAAACATTTACTTGATACTTCCAATGTGTATGTGATATATGCTTATAAAGTTGATAATATTTTTTCCTATTATGTCTATTATACATATATATTTTTAAATGCAGAAAGGTTTTCTTGTGTTTCTCGATTTGCACTTTTTACTGTCGATAGAAAAAAAACTTTAAGTTATATGAAAATATAAGATAAAAAAGAAACAGAATATACAAAAACATGATTTAATAACATATTTTATCATGAATATTTTTGTCTATAGATGATTTATCCATTGTTAAACCTAGCACAGAAAGATATTCGTATTCGTGGTAATTGCATCACTTGTACAGTGACAGGAAGAGTCTCGATGCATGAACCAAATTTGCAAAATGTACCAAAGGATTTCAATTTCGTAGACAATGGTCTCGTTGTAAGTGTGAGAATGGCATTTGTACCAGCTTTGGGGAACATAATGCTATCCGCCGACTATTGTCAACTCGAATTACGCCTCTTGACGCATTTTTCGCAAGATTCGGTATTGTGCAAAATCATGAGACAGCAGGGTGACATTTTTAAAAATATTGCTGCCAAATGGAATAATGTAGTAGAAGAACAGGTATTCACTGATGTAATAATTAATATCTTGACTTTTTTCATCAAAGATAGAGATACAAGATAAATTTTCAATCGATTCAGTGAAGAGATACAGATACAAGTTACATTTGTTTAATTCCTTCAATTTTAGATATAGATACAAAATGCACTGAATCATTTTTCCGGAGAAAGATACAAATACAGATAGTATCTGTATCTGTATCTGTATTGGTATCTTTTTTAAAAGCTCTCTTGACAATAATTAATGTTATCACGAAAAATTATGTATACTATTATACTGTTTACAATTCGTCTATTTTTAAACATTTTACTCATTTATTAATTATATTAATTGTTTGAATATGTAGGTAACTAGTGAAATGCGTCAGCGTACCAAGCAATTATGCTATGGCATGATTTACGGTATGGGAGTCAAATCATTGGCCGAAAATCTGTGCATAACTGAACCCGAGGCTCATGAGTTTTTAGAATCTTTTATGAACGCATATCCCGGCATATACAAATGGTTAAACGACGTACTAGAAGAAGCGCATCGCGATGGATATGTGACCACGCTACTCGGAAGGCGTAGACAGCTTCCAGATCTAAAAAGCACAAAATCATCTACGAGAGGTGAATTATATTTGTCTTATATCGGACTTCGTTTGCATTTTATAAACGATTTAAATAAATTGCTGTATATGTTGGATTCTAGCGCAAGCAGAACGACAGGCTGTAAATACGAAAGTTCAAGGATCTGCTGCAGATATAGTCAAAAAGGCTATGATAAGTATAGAGGACAAGATAAGAAGCCACTTTCCTGATTCAACAATGATATTTCCAGAGGTGCGCAACACTCGTAGACTACGAAGCGATTTGCAACAGAGAGGTGGTTATTTAGTCTTACAGTTACACGATGAATTGTTATATGAAGTAAGTACTGTCAACTTTTTATGTATTTACTGCAAGTGTAAATTATACGGGTTTTATGACATCTTAGAAGATACCAATACAAAATAAGTAATCTTTTAATACTGCTTTAGGTAAATTTAGCAGATTTAAAGGAAGTTGCTGTTATAATTAGAGGATCAATGGAAAATGTGTGCCAACTTACTGTGCCGTTGCCAGTAAAAGTCAGAGTTGGACCTGCATGGGGCGATTTGAATGATTATCAATTTTAGCAAACATTTCTAATCATAGTGCACTATTTATTAATATCAAATCGCTATTTTTATACATTTTTTAAAATAATTTATCACGATTAAGCTATCTATTTAGATCATGTTTATCAAATATTTTATACATGTTATTTTTTATGAAAATTGTAAATACTTGATTGTTTAATTCACATTATTCATATATTATTATCGGGAGTGATAGAGATTTAGAAAATTATAAATAGTTGAAAATGGAATTCAGTATTTTTCGATGAGGCATTAATTATCATTTTTTTAATCATGCGGTATTAATCATGCAATTCTTAAATTTGTCCATTTTAAAGGTCAGTATATTAAAATGTTTCCATATCAAAACATTTTTTTATATTGGAACCTAATTGAATATTAATATATTAGTATTTAAAAGTAAAAGTACTTTATCTTGTTACATCTTTTATATTCCCAAAAAATTATAAATATTCTTAATGGTTTATCTCAATCTCCTTATTATCTCTTTATTGCGCATAAGACAAAAATGAAAATTAATATATAATCGAAATTATAAGTCATTTATCTAACGATGATAATATCATTGTTCATGTTTCTGCAAAACTCTAAAGAGGAAAAGAGCTTATAATTAACACTTTTTCAATAAACAAAAATATTTTAAATATATTTCTCTATGTATACATCTCTTCTTTTTATCTCAGTTTTTATCGATGTAAAAGTGATAAAAACTCAATACTGTTAACAATATTAAGTCATCCATTGAGTACGATAATACATAATATGAAATTATCAGTCTTCATAGTATATAGTTTTTATAACATAATATAATGATGTAATTTATGTTGGGACGAGATTAAGCATTAAAATTAAGATGTACGAAGATACAAGAGTATCAATTACAAAAAATAAATATATTATTAACGGTGTAAAATGGTGTTTATTACATAGCAATTGTATATCTATTTACGCGCTATATTACATCGCAAGGCGGCGCCAACGATTGATGCAATTTCGTCACTGCTGTTTGCACTATCTGCTGGAAAGTCTCGTCCTCCTTGCTGGTCACTTCCAGGTTCAGCAGATCTATATGCGCCTTCTTGCCATCCACCGTTACGTAGAGTTTCTCACCTTTGAATATCTTTGGCACGGAATCCTCGCCAAACATCTCCTGCAGCATCTCTATGAGGCATTCCTTGAAGTGCATCCTGTCCATCTTGGTGGGTGCGGGAAACACCTTCGGCGACTGGTCCATTATCTCGGCTTGCAGGATCGCGGTGAGAACCGAGTCCGCGTACATGTCATTCACCGGCGTCGCTATCCATTCCATCGTGACGATCTTGCCGTCGATCGTGACGTCGACGTTCTTGAACACCCTCAACTTCTTGTCGTCCACAACCTCCAGGCTGCCGGCTATCTGCGTCAGTAGGTGTTTCAGCACGGGTAAAGACGCGGAGAAGTAGACGCTCTGCCGCTGTATAACTTGACTCATGCTCATGTCCGTGTACTTGGACAGGTCGCACGGGGCCAGCATGTGATAATTGAAGTTCCTCTTGACCAACACGCCGGACAACTTCTGCCCCGGCCTCGGGGTCTCCATCGCCAGCGTGCCCATCACCTTGGCGGTCTTCTCGCCTCTGAAGTAGAGCTCGACCGCGATCGTGTTTCGCGGATTGTGTATTTCCATGGTGGTGTTGGGATCGTCCTCGTACTCCCGTTGCAACGCCGCCTTCAGTCGGCCCATCTCGTTCTGCTCGCCGTGCACCAGCACCACATGCGGCGGTTTCAAGGTGCGTATGAACTCGGACGTTTGCTGGTAATCGGTGTGGGCAGAGAACGATATGTAGTCGACGGACATTTTCAGCGGCAGTTTCTGCCCGGACATAGTCGTAATTTCCTCCGGCTCCGACAGAATGGTCTTGGCCAGCGTGCCCTCCACGCAGTAGCCGGCTATTATCACTCCATTCTTCGCATCCGTGCACCAGGACTCGAACAACTCTCTAGATAAGCCACTCTGCATCATACCGGGTGAGGCCATCACCACACACGGCCCGATGTCCTCGAAGTGGTCTATGCCCTTTAGATTAGAGATATGCTTGAACACGAAGGGATTATTGATGGCTATCTGCCGTCTAATCTTGTCGTTCATCGCGTTCACGTACGTCTGATAAACGGCCATACACTTCTTCGCCAGGGAGGAGGCGTAGTAGATCGGTATCTCGTGCAGCTCCGAATGCTGGCTCCAGTACTCGTCCAGGATAAGGAGCAGCTCCTGCGCCCTGCCCAGAGCGAACACGGGTATCAGGCACCTGCCGCCCCGGTTGACAATCTCGTGCACGAGATTCGTGAATCTACCCTCGCGGTCCTCACGCTTCTCGTGAATGTGCGTGCCGTAGGTGGACTCCGTGATGAGCACGTCGGGATGAATGTTCGGGATCTCGGCGGCCATCAGGTGCCTGTCCTCCTGCCGGCTGAAGTCCCCCGTGTACAGGATCTTGACGCCAGCGATCTCTATCATGAACATAGCGGCGCCCAACACGTGTCCCGCGTTGTAAGCCCAGAACTTGATCCCGAACACGTCCTTCTCCTCGTGGAAGTTGATCGTCTCTATCTTGTCCATACTGGTCTCCAGGTCGGACTCGGTGTACAGCATTTGCTCGGTGGCTATGTTACTCACCTTGATGTAGTCCGACAGTAGCCAGCGATAAATCGCCTTGGTGGCGTGGGTCATGAAGCAACGGCCCTTGAAGCTCGTCTTCTGCAGAAACCAGGGCAACGCGCCGCAGTGGTCCAAGTGGAAGTGGGAGATGAGCAGCAAGTCGATTTCGTCGGCCTCGACGAGGTCGACGAACGGCAGAGCGTCCATGCCCGAGAGCCCGGGATGTATGCCGCAATCCAGCATAATTTTCTTCCCCTTAAATTCTAACATGATGCATGATCTGCCGACCTCCTGACCCGCGCCGAGAGGCCGGATCGAGAGCAGATCGCTCTCCTCGGCCGGCACCTGCGCGTCGTTCTTTCTCCTCGTCGTCATCTCGTCAAAACGATCGCCCTCCCTTGGAAAACTCTACCTTCACCCTTTTTTTTTGTCGCGTTATATTTAATATTATATCGTACTTCACGCTGCAGCTTCCTCGAAAGAACACGATGTTAAGTGGAAAACATTTTGAGGTTACGCACCGCACAATATACCCTTTTCTTCTTCTTTTCCTTAATGGCTCCCCTGGATCCAAGGCGGCCTCCAATATGGCCACGGCTAACCAATAGTCGTCTCTGTGCCTCCCCCCCCCCCCCCCGCGACGTCCGCCCGGCGAGCAAGCGGGAGATTTAAAAATGTGTACAGTCGGGAGCACTGAGGTTGCGACACTTTTTTTTTTATAAGTTTACGAACGCGCAAAATAATTCAGGATCCTGAATTATTTTGCGCGTTCGTAAACTTATAAAAAAAAAAGTGTCGCAACCTCAGTGCTCCCGACTGTACATTCATGGATTTAAAAAAAGGCTGCAGTGAGCCCGCAAAGCTTGGCCGTTGGGAATTTGATAGCTTGATGGAAAATCGTTAGGTATCTGGAAGTATGCAGTTTATCTAGTGAGGTAGGTGCCATTTGCCTTTGTATATTGGACAATGGAATATCACGTGATTAACGTCTTGTCTTTGGTGTCCGCATTCGCACGCCGGAGAGGGAACAATGTCTTTCCGCAACGATTGCGCACCTTGGAAGGGCGAAATTACAGAACGGGGTACGTTTGCTCGGACGGCCGTAGTAGTTAGAGTACACCCATACAGCACCAAAGCTTTCAGAAAGATTTCAGAAACATTGCAACATTGCTATGTAATATTGCACAGCTGGTTCAGAGACACTCAATTGTAATATTTTGCCAACAATGCTTCAGTAACCTTGTAGAAATATTATAAAGTTTGCAAAATATATTTGTAACGTATTATAATATTGTTTAGACTTTCCATATTTCTATTATTTCTCATATATTCCAAACGCAGCCTAATAGCACGTACAGCAACGCTACTTAAGCCCGCTGCAGACGATGCTATTTTTCCTGCTGGATTGCTTGCAATCTAATAAATTACTATCGTTGCACCATTCAGCACTCAGGATTCCTAGTAATTTAGTAAATCGCAAGCAATCCAGCAGGAAAAATAGCATCGTCTGCAGCGGGCTTTAATAGTGATTTCCGATATCGCCGGTATCGGTCTTCTTCGTCCATGTTGTCCATGTTCGAAGCGTATTTTCGCGACCTCCAACGTGTCTCTTAACGATATCACTCTAATCCACGGTAATTTCAATTCCTATATAAATATAAATAATTTTTCTAATATGTAAAGTACTTCAGATTTTAAATATATGACAGACATCCAAGAGTGATAAGAAAAAAAATGTTGCAATTTTTTCTTGGGTGTTTTTACATTCTCAAATTTTATTTGGTAGGTTGTTCTAAAAGTTCGTCTCAAATTTCCTATATATTATACATATACAGGAAATATAAAACGAACTTCCCGAACAACCTATTAAAATCTTAAGTACCCTGTATATTTATAAAGATACTTAAAATTTTAGATACTGCAGTTTCTTGATGGAAATTTTTATTTAAAAAAATGTTTAGTAATAAATATTATTGTACGATAAATTATTTCTGCTTAACACTTTAGTAACTTACACGTACAATATAAATTACAGTTGGAAAGAAACATTATCTTGCAGATATTTCATTCTGAGCAAAAGCTATTTAAAATTATTTTTAATTAATTTCATATTTTCGTATAATTTCATACTGTGGCCTAATAAAATATAAATGTATCTGTTTAAAATGGATTTCTCACTCGTCCTGATTATTTCAATATGAGATTATATTTAATGTTGCAAAGTGTAGGGTATCGGTGTGAACAAAAAGAAAATGAGAAAAAATAAACCTATTTAAAAACGTACCTCAATACATAAATTTTATTAAGGTATACATATGTTGATTTATTGTTTTTTTTTCCTTTTTTAATGATAATATTACCCTAAGTTTTTAATCTGCTTATAGCGTAGATTGAGTTTCGTTATGATACTCAATTGCCAAATCAATTCATTGGCCCTATTATAAAATAGAACTGATGTACATATTTACATTATTTACAACGATGTTCATTTATGAATATATAATAGGTATAATATGAATAGTTTAGCTAAACAATTGCACATTTGGACGTCGATGTTGGTTGTAGGTGGGCTTCTCAAGCTACCTATCGCGTATCAAATCGTTTTCTAAACGAGTAAACTCAGTGGAGACGACAGAAGGAGACTGTGCAATCGCTGCTTGGCGATGTATTAATAAATGCGAAAGATTCATGGATGATAAATTAAATATAATTAACTTGACAGATAAACGATGGAGTCAAAGACTATCGATGCATTTGTATCTCCATGTATAGACAATTACGAAATATATTTTAACCCTTTGTGCTTGAATATTGTCTGCAATAGGAATGCTATATGCAAAGATTGCAGTATTACAAAAAACACGCCAAAATACACCGAGTGTTGCAAAACACGCGAATAATAAGGGCATATATTTTAGGAATAGATTCCTCGCCGAGTAGATGACATCGAGCTCATTTCAGTGAAAATCTTCAAAGAGCTTATTCTTTGTTTACCGTTTTTCTCCCAGTCACATCACAGGGTACCTATCATAGAAATGTTCAGAATGGATTCCGATAGAATTATTCCGTTTGCCCTAGAAAACGCAATAGAAATCTAGGAAATGAGTGAACAATTCCGACCGGAATCAATTCCAAACATTTCCATAATAGGTTTTCCAGATAACTTATTGTGTGTTCAGAGAAAGAAAGAAGAAACTTAATCGGTACTATTGAAGTCTATTTCAAATTCAATAAACAACGTTTAATTGTCCATGAGAGAAACTTTAGTTTCCGAAATTTTTTTTATTTCTTATACTACTTTGCGTGTCGTATCAGTTACTAAAATTAGTTGTAAATATCGCTCGAATATTTCCTCTGAAAAAATTTGATACCTCGGTGTCAGACAAATCTATCCCTGAAATATCCACGCCTAGTTACAACATCTGTATTACATATTATTGCAAAGAATTTAATTTCTAATTAACTTCTCACAGATATTCTGACTTTCTGGTTTATCCCTATCAAGTATAGATTAGAGTTGCAAAACATTACATTTACAAGTTACAAATTCCTTCTATACAAAGTTATACGCACAATAATAAATTCGTTCTATCTCTTAATCGTGAAGCACAACTCCATTTACGAGTGGGGAACCTCGTGACGAAAATTCTGAATTCGTTTGTCATCAACCACACTTAACTTTCACTTCCACTTCCACGCTGCTCGAGCAGTACATTGTATTCTATATCTATTTTAATGATTCACGTACTCACAATATACACATATATTGTGAATACGTGAATCATGTATATATATATTTATATATATATTTATATATACACACACCACGTACACAGACATCCTTTTCTTATTTTATCACGTTTACGTTCGCAATTGTTATCCAGCGTGTGATTGTTGTTCTGATCAATGCACAATCTATATTTTCTAGAGCTAGGTTGGATATCTTCTGTCAAAATTTAATTTTCCGTAGTGATATTTTCCCCTTCTCGATCATTCTTCTTACATTAACTTCCAACAAGTTGTAATCTTAGCTGAGCAATGAATTTTCAAAACAACATAAGATAAAGTTACTTGCATACTTGCGCTACACGAAATATCCCTGATAATGTCGGATAACAAATACTTCGAGTACAAAGGGTTAATACTCTTTAAATAAACTCCATAATGTGTAATATATTCAAACTCCTTTGCACACTTCATTGTATCAAGGTCTTTAGATTCAAATCGTTGAAATATCCATAAATTCTTACATGATCATGCTTTTTACATTTACAAGTCATTCCTGGTTTGGTCGCTTCGTTTAAAATTAGTAGTTGAAACTCGTTTTAGCAAACGATTTGACTTTCACAAGAGTCAATGAAATAAATCGATAATATGTAGCTAACACATATCCTCTTCAATATTGCTCCCTTACATCAAAATAATAAACAGCAGTCTAATTTTAAACGTATTTTTTGCATTCACAAGTATGCATGTCTGCTAAACAATGTCATAATCTACCTTACAAGACACTGGTTTCTGATTTTGTAAATGACATGTAAGTTTAGTACATAGCGTACTTGTATTTAAAAAGTACAGTATCAGAAAAACGCAAATCCAAAATGATCGAATTTGATTTTTTTTTTATGTCGTTGCAGCCAAAACAACTCTCCAGAATTGATATATTTCGAAATAATAGCCGCCATACAACATAAAACTCCGCACATATCGCAATAAAAAAAATATATATGTAATTTTACATATTGTGCATCTTTTTAAACCAAAAGTATTTAACGAAAATCTTACATATAATCAGTTTTCAACTTATCATATATAAAACAGATTAACTATTATAGATATATAGGTAGTTTGGCTTCGTATCAAAATACTTTTTCACTTATTTTGAAAGTGCAAATCTATGATCTTTCTTTTGGACTTACATTCTTCTGTTTCGCAAGCAATGATATTATTGCGAATTATTAGTAGCAATGAATGAATGACAGGTGTTAAACTAAAATTGAGGAACATAACTATTTTGATTCGTATTAGAGAGCAATATACAAAGAACCAACACCGATCAGTCTTTAAATTATAGTAACCAATAAAATACCGGTCTTATACACATTGCAAAATATATAAATATAGAAGAATAACAACTAAGATTTTCGTAACTGTTACGTGATAGTCGATAGTTATAATATTGATTTATAGGCCCTTGCATAGAAAATTGATCGCAATTCAATACGAGTCGTCCCATGCTTATATTGGGCTTACATTGGGGAAACGATGCGCAAAAATTTGCATGCATACTCCTTGTGTAAAATAGATATTGTAAAAAAAGAAAATTCTTTACAATCATTGACACATAAAACTGCTGTGTATCTTTGTAAATATTAATTAGATTAATTATCTGTATACAATAATTAATTACTATTAGTTGGCAAACGTGTTCTTTCATTGCGTAGCAAATTTTCCTCCGCAAGAACTATTCGAAAATCTTTGTGACATATATTACGATAGTTAATCTTCATTAAAAATTTATCATTAGCTTAGGTAATTGTAGTCTGAAGTCACTGGACCTACCTAATACGCAAATGTTTAAAACAAATAGCATATAATGTAATAAAAGTCCCATCCCCGTACAATCAACTTGCTTGACGATACGAATACATCATAAATAACAACTTTGATCCTTAGATATCTTCGCAGAGTTACAGTTTTGCAAGAAACGGAAAAGTAAAGTTTAATAAATACATAAACTTGGTTTAGTGAATAAAATTAAAAAAATTTATATATATAAATTTTATAATATGAAATTTTTGTCTATTTTTATTTCCTTTTACTTTAATAAATAAGAAATAAATAATTGCAACGTGCTACAATACAATTGTCGGAATAATAGAATTAATGCATATATACACAACATGCATACGCGTGCTTTTTTCTTTGAAGTTTGAAAATTGCTATGGAACAAAGAAGTCCTTAGAATACTCGTACTAATCTTAAACGCTTGGATATCTAAGGATTTCTTTTCTTTCAAGTGCTTCACGTTAAATTAAACTAAATCACATTTTAACATAGTTTAAATATTATACGCATGCCAAAAAATGATGTGTTAATGAATCTCTTAGGAATAAAAAAAATACCTCGCATTTACTAACAAAAAAATATAATAATATAACAGCTATAGTAATTCAATAGCGATTGAATCAACCAAAAAAAAAGAAAGGAGACTTTAGATAAGATGAATTTACTTGTCTAGAATTAAACCGCACGGACGACAAAGTTAATAACATGTCTCCGAATTATTCTACGTATGGCAATGCTTAAAGTGTTACCATAAGACACTTTCGGATATATAAAAAATTCATGTACCTTTATAGTATAATAATATTAAAAATGTACGGCATGTATAACGTAATATATACTCGTATATACGAAATCGAATAAAAACCCTTAACAGTAGACCCAGTGCTTTAGACTCAGCACTCGAATACCGTTACGGTGACTTAATTGTCTTCATTGTCGGCGCGTATACGCGTACAGCCGTACATATTCGTTAAATATTTCCTTCCGTATCGCAAACGCGTACGGTGTCTCCGATCGAGTACAATGAAACATCGACTGCCGTTGTCCATACGTCGATCGGCGCTAAATAATCTTAACTAAATTTTCGTAGTACCGACGGTAATTGTAGCTATAATTTAGAAAGAGGACAGCAAATTACTAACCAGTTAGCAGGACTGTCCCGTGTAGAATTCAGGCTGAACCAAGCCAGTTCGAAAATCGGTTCAAAACTAGGATTAACACCATGATTATACATTCGACGAGCTCAGCTTCTAACGTGCCACAGGCACACTGAGGAGCGTCCACGAGCGTGGAGGCCCGAAACTCGTCAAGATATTACATCAATACCCGATCAAAAATGTAAAAGTATGGTTCCAGTTCCTGAAAACTGTACGCAGTACACTTGTCCCTCGATTTACGCGGAGTTCCACGTCTTCTTTTTTTTTTAACCAGTTAAGAATTGCATAAAAAAACAAAGCCTGCTAGTGCAAAGAAAGTAGAGAACAGTAGAGTAAGAGGAAAGCTTGTGTTGTACGTTGTAAAAATATTTATTTTACATATTTGCATAAAAACAGTACTGACGAAAGCAGAAAAGTTTCTTAAAAAATTTGTCATCACGTGCAAATAAATTTAAAGTGTTCACGAGTCAATCGAAAGAAATCAGGTTGTTTCGACAAATACAATCAAGTAAGAGCTTACTGATATATAACAATTTCAATAAAATATATTCTGACCGTGTAACATGAGATCGCGTAAAACTAAGACCGCGCAAACGGAGGGATTGTTTACCGCGTAAATTGAGGGATTAGCGATAATCTCGCTATAAGTACAGCGCGGTCGGCCGCGCTGAGTCGTCCGACTCGTCCCGATTGCGATAACGAGTGCACCAGAATGAGAACGTGGGTGGGTAGACGAGCTGGCGATCCTCGTTCAATTCTCGGTATTTACAGGCTCGCGCGCGTGATGAATTCGCACGTGCTTGTTGTGATTGGACTTGGTACCACTGGATTTACCGCAGATGTGACACGTGTACGGCCGCGCGCCCGAATGCACCCGCAGATGCTCCTTGAGATAGTACGAGCGGTGGAAGGTCTTGTTGCACACGTCGCACGTGTACGCTTTGTTCTCCTCGTGCTCCTTCACGTGCCGCAGGCAGTTGTACTTGCGGATGAACTGCGCGCCGCAGTAGTTGCACGTGTACGGCCGCACGTTCCGATGGGAATTCATGTGGGCCGTGTAATCGCTGTGACGGTAGAACGCCGCGCTGCACTGATTACATTTGAACGGCTTGGTGCTGCGCGCTGCGTGCGTCCACTTGTGCAACTGCAGATTCCACTTGGTGCTGAACGCCTTGGAGCAGACCTGACATTCGTACGGCCGCTCGCCGTTATGCACGCGCATGTGCACCGCCAGTGACGACCGCAGGTAGATGCACTTGCAGATCGGGCACTCGACGTTTTCGCTCTCGCGCTGAGCGTCGGGTACGAATCGACGATTGTGGGCGCGACGCATGTGACGCGTCAGACTGGCCATGTGGATAAACCGCTCGTTGCAGTACGTGCACGCCTTGGGCTTCTCGTCGTGCGTCTCCTTATGCCAGGCGAGCTTCTTCTTCGTGTGGAACACCTCGCCGCAGTGGCATATATAGTCCTTGAGCTTCTTCTTGATGTTGAGATGATGCCTGTTCTTGTGTTGGGTCAGATTCGAGTATCTGCGGAAAGTCTCGTTGCACAGACTACACCTGACGGGCGCGTTGCCGGTATGACCGTTGGTATGCTCCTCCAGCTTCTGCTTGGTGAGGAACGCCTTGTCGCACACGGTACATGGGAATGGCTTGATGCCCAGGTGCCGTTTCATGTGGAGCTTGAAGTTCTGCTTGCGATAAAAATACTTGCCGCACTGCCCGCACTCCAACGGATGTATCTTGAGGTGAGCGTTGAAGAGGAACACCGACGGGAATTCCTCGTTGCATATCTGGCACTTGGCGGTCTCGCGTATGCGTTTGTTCACGTCGGCGATGTGCATGCGCCGGTGATGCGCCTGCAGGGACTTTTCGCTATTGAATCGCTGATTGCATATCGTGCAGATCACTTCAATGTTCGACGGTATCACCAGATTCTCACCAATCTTCTGGTCGGCCTCGGCCTTCGTAAGGCCGTCCGATCCAGGTTGCGACGGTGGCTGCAATTGGTGCAGGAGCGGCTGTTGATGATGGTACATGTGCTGTTGCATATGTATACTCGGCATGAATATGTCGTCGAACATATTCATACGGCTATCCAACAACTTGATGTCCTTCACCTCCGGCTGATCCAGCTGGTCTCTACTGCTACTGGGCATTGCATCCTTGTGCACCGTTGTGCTGTGAACTCTACGTTCCTTCGGGCAATCAAACACTTCGCTACAGTGGGAACACTTGAATGTTCGTTTGGTCGGTGTCTTTCGGTCCCGATCCAGGAACAGACTCGAAGTGAAGTGAGTAGCCAAAGATCTACTATCCAACAACGGCCCGCTGATCTCGTTGTCGGATCCTTCCGACTCTTCCCAGCTTTCTCGAGCCAGCAGATCGTAAGAGGTGGACATGCGCGACGATTCTTGACCCATGTACAACTACACAATAAAAACATATCTTAGAAACACGAACCGCATTGTATAGAGTATGATCAACATGTACAGAAGAAGTAATATGAAACCCCACTTTTTTTTTTAAGTGATCTCTTGTAAGTTATAAGTTTAATTTTTTCATTCTTCGTATGTTTCGATTCCTTGTTTCATTGACAATCCATTTTTAATTTTCAATTCATAATTTTCTCTTTCTAAAAAAAGCTGTGTAAAGAAACTCAAAAAGTGAGCAATTGAGTGGTAAGACATAATGTGCTGGTAATATGAACAATATCCCCTTTAATTGCGGGAAATGAAAACAATTTCATAAAACGTAGAATAACTTGTAAAAAATTATTATATTTACTCAAAGAGAGAGAGAATTTTGGTATTTATTGACAAAAATCGCAAATGTATTCCCTTTTCCCTCGTTTCTGCGCATTCATCATAGGCTTAGAAACCACACATGACATTGAACCCACAGTTACCTTGGGGATTCATAATGCAAACATCATAATTTTGTGAAACAATAGCAACTATAAAAAGGAGGACCAAATATTTTTTAATGCGTGGAAATGTTAGATAAGATCGTGTAGATGAAGTGTGTGACGCTAAAAGTTACCTGTTATTCACAAACAGTCGAAAATAAACAAAGTTTTACTTATCTTTCTAACAGTCAGAAATCGACAAAAGTGAAATAGCTCTTTTATCGAGGGATAAACCGCTGACAAAAATCGTGTAAAGCAATGCCTACTAATGCCCAGGGGCATTACTTTATCTTACTGTCTTATTTTATATTTACAATGCACCAGCAAGGCCTACAGCCTTGGTCAAAAGTATTTGCCATCTCTTTGATTCTTAGAAATGTAACTTCTTTTGATTCTAACCAACTATTTTGTATATTGTTACGTATCGGCACGCTAAACTAAATAATCTAAACAAAGCATCACATCATAAACCCGCAAGGACTAGTCGCGAAACGTTTACAGTAGTAGACTTGAATTTTGCTTGTAAGTATTTAGTTCACTGCGGACGCTCGAGGTGTGCAAATTGCTGAATAATCTCCAACTTATAATGGCTTACTCTAAAGAATAATACTCTAAAGAATAATTTTGCTACAGAAATGCGAAAAACGTGCGAATTGGATTTAGCTGAACGTTTGAAAATACAATCGCTTTTTGAGAAAGGAAAATAAAACACAAATCGCAAAAATAGTGAAATGTTCTCAAAGTACTGAGATACACCATAAATCATTATAAAAAGACTGAAAGTCATCAACTATTATTTAACCTGAATGTAAGATAATTAAAAATATTCGTTTCACATAGGTGGCAAATATTTTTGGTCAAGGCTGTAGTGCCCAAAAAATGCCCAGTAATGCCGTAAATCTGTACACAATGCCCTCAGCGGTTTACCCCTCGTCTTTTGCTCTATTATTATCACAAAGTTAGCGACTCGAGCGTTCTTATAGACCAAAGGGTAACCCTAATAAACAAGTTTAAGTAGTCATCTATAGAGTGTAGCGAGATGTTTTCAAGACATATTGAGGGGGTCCATATTATCAGCAGGGTCCCGTATTATCACCCTTCCTCTATATAATTTTTAAAACCAAATTATAATAAGTGATTTCACGTTTGCTTATGTCTTATTAGATTTATCACTATTTAATCCTTGCATGATCACTGGAACATACGAGTCTCACTTACATTTTTCGCCTCTCACGGTCCTCGGGGAAATAATTGAAAGGGTCAACTTGCATAACTTTTAACTTGGCTACACTTAACCTTTGCATAATTAATTTACATGTAACAAATTATCATGTAGCATCATAACAACAGGACAACTTTAGTAACATTTTTTCGGCTGTACAATTCTATTATTATATAATGGTAGAAACATAACATTCAAGATTTATGATGATAACAATCACGAAAATAATTTCATAACAATTTCGCAATAATTTTACAAGAATAATGTAACAAAATATTTAACGGTATTGTCCCCTTTAACAGATGACCATCGAATGTACACGGGATATAACTTGGCACATTTGTGATAATTAATTTTTTAATAATTATAAAAACGCAATTCAAATAATGATAAATCTCACGATAAGTCTTGCAATCATAAAACAAGTAGATAATTAAAAAAAATTCCCATTACGCGTTGCATCTTGTGTTACACATACATCGGCTACGAGTCGAAACGTTTGCGTCGCGTCTTTGTGAATAGAAAAGACTATTGCAAATACCGAGTCGTAGAGGAAAAGTCCTCTATGAGATGGGATTCTAATACGAGATAGTAGGTTTTTAACGTCCAAATTCAATCACAAATCTCTTTTTTTTCGCAACGATCACACGATCTAACAGTCAATTTTCCACCAAACAGAGATTTCACTCCAAGGGCAACAAATTCATGGTGGAGCCAACAGACGACGCCTATTAATTAAGCAGAAACTCCGCTATCTCGTATTGGGAGCCAATCTCATAATAGGGGACTTTTCCTCTATAAATAATGGGAAAATGTGAATAAAGAACTGTAGGTACAAAGGACCTCGACTATACGTAGAAACACGAAGGATAACGGCACGTTACGAACCTGCCATGCGGACTGCTCGGTGCATCCATTACTCTCTTGCTCCGACAATTCGCCCCTGGGCGGCATGGTCTCGTCGGCGCGCATGTTAATACTCTTTACCTCCTCGTCGATACCTATTGCACCCTCGCTACTCGCCATAGATTGCTGGCTGGTCGCGCTCACCGCTTTCTGGGACGAGTCACTTATAAACGTACTAGGAACTAATATCTGTAGTCCGTCGAACTCAAAGACATTCATTGGCCCGGCGTGAGCATCTTCATTAATGTTGAGCAGTTCCATCGATTGTTTCGGCACCAACGACTTGGTGGAGTGAAAGCTCCTGGACTCGGTGCTACTGGTCGTGGGGTTGATCGATTCGGAAAGATTCAAGAGGTTCTGCGTCTTGGTGCTCGTCGTGATGGAGTACGACTCGTGCATCAGAACGGACGACTGCGAGTGTATAACCGGGAACGAGCTGATGTGCTCGGTTATCACCGACTGATGATACGCGTAACTGCTGCTCGACTCCTGAACCTTGGCGATACCTCCGCACACTGCCACCTGCGTCTCCTGATGCTGATCATCAGTCTTGATCTTCTCCTCCTCAAGTTGCGAGCAGTCGATCGGGTCTTTCTCCGCGGTGTTCACCGCGCCGTCGCTGTCCTCGTCGTCGTGCATCACGCTGTCGCTGTCGACGTGATGAAACGAGTGCATGGACGTGGGTGAGCACGGCTTGCTGAGATCCTTCCGAACTCGTAACACGGAGATGCCGCTGATCGTGGAGAGCGGCGTGTGCGACCTGACGCCACAGTCGGCAAACGGCGTGTGCGGACTTGGGATCTCGTCGATCTCCATATCCGCCTCGTCGAAGTTGTCCTCCTCGTCGATCTTCTCGTCCTCGTCCACGTCCTCGTCGTCCTCGTCATCCTCGTCATCGTCGTCGTCCTCGTCGTCGTCGTCGTGCATGGCCGCGGCGGCCGCGGTTGCGGCGACGTCGTTGTAACCAGCGCGACGACGATACGCGCTGAGATTCTCGCACGACCCGTGCTCCGAACGCGAGCTGTAGCGGCGCGCGAGTCTGCGGCTCTTCCTTCTCGCGACTGGAGAAACCGGCGCCGAAACGCTACCCTTGTAATCGTCCGAATGAAAAGTTCTCTCCAGTCTCTCCAGCGCCTCGTTCACCTTGGCGCAGTCCACTCTGTACGAGTGGACGTCGCAGGTCTTCTCCAGCATTCTCAGTTCGTTAGCCACGTAACCGCCCGAGCCCCACTTGCTCTCCTCCTGTATGTCGGGCAATATGTGATCCTTCTCGTGGGAGCCCGGGATGGTGACCACCATATCATGAATCACACTCTCCTCCCTGTCCACCGCGGCGGCCTTCTCTCTCACGCCCGCCAGTCTCTCCTGATCGTTCGGCGTGGTACTCTCCTTCTGCAGCGAAGCGTTATTCAGCTCCGTTTCCATTATGTTTATCAAGTTTTCCAGCTTCTCCACCGAGTTGAGCTCGGGCTGGACAGAGTCCTTCAGCGCATCCATCGCTATCAGATCCCGCGGCGATCCGACGTTACTGTTAATGTCGCTGGCGCGACTCGCGGGTCCCTCGTCGCTCATCCCTTCGGCCTCCTGCTCACAAGTCATGGTGTCCGCGGTCCCGCCGGGCGTTTTTCTACTGGATACACTCACGTATCCCTCGTCAATGACCTGTTGCGTAAAGTGTTGCGCTTCCGGCTGCTGTTGCTGCTCGTACGTAACGGATTTACATTGCAAGTCCGTGGTCGAGATGCTGCTCGACAGCTCCTCGTCCACCATGTCCGGCAGCACGCTCTCCACCTTGTCGACCGTGTTATCTATCGCGCAGGCGATTGTAATAGACCTAGAAATGGCGTTGTACTCGTGCTGCATCGCGTCCTCGCCGCCGGGAGGCGCAGAACTCTGCGCCTGCTGTCCCCGGTGGTCGATCGACGTCAGCGCGCCGCTGTCGCTCTCCTCCCTCGCTCTGACGGGCGCGTCCTCGTTCTGCAGCACAGGCGAGGCCGAGAGGGTCACGTCCGGCATAACTTGGCCGGGCTCGGGCTCCGCCTCGGGCAGAATCTCGGGCAGAATCTGCTTCGGCTCGGGGCTACTTACAGGAACCGTCAGGGTCCTGACGTTGCTCTCCCCGGCCATGGTGACCACTGGTCGGACCCTCGTCGCCGCGCCGGGAATAGCTGCAACCGGTGAGATCATTTGGACGGTGGGTATTTGCTGTTGGTACATACCGTATGGATTGTACAGCATCTGCATCATCTGATTGGCCTGCGGCGCCATCGCGTACTGCGGTATCATCATGGTCCCATTGTTCACAAACTGCTGATAGCTGAACGAGGTGAACTGCGGCGGCATCATGGCGCTAATGGGCGGACATTCGAAGATGGGTCCTACAGGGTACGGCGAGTGTGTAGAAATGTGCGTGTTCTGCGAGACCTGGGAGGACGCTTGGGGCGCCTGGATGGGGGTGGGGGTCTGAAGCGCAGCTTGTGGCTGCAGTGACAATGGTAGTGACGTTGCTGCTGACGCTGGTACAGCTTGCTGCTGCTGCTGCTGCTGTTGCTGTTGCTGCTGGGTCTGTAACGAGGAGGCGCTGGCTTTGATGAGAGCGTCTATAACCTGTTCCTTGGGGTGGGTGTCCAGATGCTTCTGCAGACTGATGCCCTCGCGCAAATACAGGGTGCAAACGGGACAGGCGACGGCCCCGACGGGCGTACCCACAACGTTGAGCTCCATTGTTATCTACGGGGGGGGTCGTCGGTTCACGCGTACGATCCAACTGACGACCTAAGGGAAGAGCGTACGACGGGCCGACACGACGTACGTTCTCGTACGTGGGTTATCCGCTCCTCGTTCGAGACCGATCGCAGCCGTGCTGCCCGTGTGTATGTGTATACGTATGTCTCTCTCTCTTTCCCTCTTTCTCTCTCTCTCTCCCTCTCCCTCCCACCCTCTCGCTCTTTCTCTGCCCGTTCTGGCCACGCTCCTCTCTTCGTGTCGAAACGGAACAATTGTCGCCGAAGCGGCCGTCTCGCGTCACATCTCGTCGCCGATCGGGCACGCGGTCGCGCACGCACACGGTACAGCTGCAGACCGTTGTGCCCCAAAAATATCGACGTCCATGGCTGTCCCCGTAACGCCTGACAGCCGTACGCGGTGCTGCGTGTCCCGTGCGGTGTGCCGCGAGCGCGAGCAGCAGCGGCGGTGGCGGCGGTGGCGGTGGCGGCGGCGGCGGCGGTGGCGGTGACGGCGGCGACGGCAGCGGCAACGGCGGCGGCACTGGCTCGCCGCCACCAGACAAATCGATATCCTGTTAAATCGCCAGCCAGCCACCAGCCTCCCCAGCCTGCCTGCGCTTATTAAATTACACCTGCCTGCACGCGGCGCGGCCGACGCACGACGGACGGACGGACGCGTGTTGGGACGCGCGGCGCGATCCACTCCGGGCAGAAACGGCACTCGCGCCACGCACACGGCTGCGGGCCCCCTCGCTGATTATCGCGACGGCATGTCTCCTTCCCCCTTTTTTCCCCCTTCGACGGCACGGTCCCGGCCCCAAAAACACAACAGAAAACAGCGACGGGCGATGATGATTCCGCCTGGGAACGGGATCGACAAGAGCCACCCGAGGGCCTGCGGGACGGCACGTAGCGCCCCCTGGCGTCTCGCCACCCACGACGCTTTTCACACGTCCGTGCGATTACGTTTGACACCTGTTCCTGGCTGCGGTAACTGATAAATCACCGCGCGCACGCCAGGGGTCACTCTATATCTATAAGCATGTGAAATATAGATTGACGGTCCGACACAAAGGTGAAAAAGTTTTTTTACCGAAAGATAAACACACTCATACACATCGCTGGATTTTTTACCGATGTCATCGTGGCCGCCAAAGCATGAGCTGAATACCTCGTTGTCGGGACAGATAAGATAAATGAACCGACAGAGAGTGGGCATACTAACAATAAGTTGGACTAAGGCCGGTATTCATAGTCCATTCTTATATTTAAGATCAACTTAAGTATATTCTTAATGTGTCTTTAACCAATCACAGAGCCGTATTAGCCTCTTGAGACAATACTTGAGATGATTTTGAAATAAGAATCGACTATGAATATCGGCCTAAGACTGGTATTACATTTGTCGTACGACAAAGTTTTTAAGCGTATTGATTGGCTGAAGGATAGTAAAATTCTCGAGTATCTAGAAACTTTCTATTCAGCGGCCAATCGACACGCTTGAAAAATTTGTCGTACGACAAATGTAATAGTACCCTAATGCTAATATGTATTACATACGTCGTACGACAAATTGTTTAAGCGTGTCGATTGGCTGTTGGCTAGAACATTTCTAGATACTCAAAAATTTTACTATCGTGCAGCCAATCAATACGCTTAAATAATTTGTTGTACGACACGTGTAATTTGACCTAAGGGCCTGAGCAGAATGACTGTCTTTAGACAATGATTTATGTTTTAAAACTTTGTCTTAAAGTAACGCACAATAACTGCCTTGTGACTTAAAGCGGGGAGCACACACACTTTTGCATAAGTGCATAAGCATATGCATAACGAATTTGATTAGTCTATAATGGCTCCTGCCCACTGGACGCGGTAACGTTGCCGCGTCCAGTGGGCAGGAGCCATT